CATCAGTCAGTCGATGTGTTGTTCTAACCCTGACTCTGGCCTAATATAAAATTTTAATTCCTCGGGAAGAAATGACGTGAATCTGTTGGGACTAGTATTAACAAATAAATTCGGTACAGGGTAATCACCATGTTGTATTTTAAACATTATATACTACTGGCTAATCACAAGAATTACCCTGGCTCCACACCATCGTGGATTCAAAATCACAATTATTTCTAGGAAATCTGTTTTTTAAGGAGCGTTTTCAATACAAACTTTGGTGATTTTACCTATCATTTCTCTGAGGGGAGTGTGTTTTTTGAAATATAATTTAACAAACCTTATATTTCTGTGGACCAGAAGACTTCAGAGAAATTGCCCTTAATAAGGTTTGCAGACTTTCCATATCCTTGTTTAAATAAACCAGTCGTTCTGATCGGATCGATTGTTTCATGTCGTGATTAAAAAAAATTAGTACTTAATCTAATAATAGATCGTGTCTTTGTTAGCAACCCCTGTATAGTATATCAGTCAAAATACCTCATAAACTTTACAGGTCTATTGGTGTATGGAAGGGGATAAGACTAGCAACTCTTGTATAGTATATCAGTCAAAATACCTCATATACTCTATAGGTCTGTTGATGTATGGAAGGGGATAAGACTAGCGACCCGTGTATAGTATATCAGTCAAAATACCTCATATACTCTATAGATCTATTGATGTATGGAAGGGGATAAGACTAGCAACCCTTGTATAGTAATTAGTATATCAGTCAAAATACCTCATATACTCTATAGATCTATTGATGTATGGAAGGGGATAAGACTAGCGACCCGTGTATAGTATATCAGTCAAAATACCTCATATACTCTATGGGTCTATTTATGTATGGAAAGGGATACGACAAGCAACCTTTGTATTGTATGTTGTGACACAAACAGGGTATGCTTACACTTATAGACACTTGACATCAACTTTCATTAGGAAATACTTACTCACTTATGATTGATTTACTTCCTCATGTGAAGAGTTCATTACCTGGTACCAAAGTTTCGTCAAAATATTGTTTTGGATTTCGGGTTTCGTTTTGCGATTCAGATCGTTAGTATATTAATCAAAATACTTCATACTGTGTAGATCTGTTGGTGTATGGAAGGCAACATCGTGAGCAATGCTTGCATATTTAGCAAATAATTGTTTTTGAAGAAGCGAACTTCCTATACAAGATGGGCAGTCATAACTATTCATAGATTTGCATCAGGAACTTCGCAATAGACCCATGCCCTGTCACACTGTATTGTATTGTTTTTATTGCCTTATACAAAGGTACATGAGCATTGGCAAACAAACAGAAACATTATTATCAAGTAAATAGAGACCCTGATACATTTGTATTGTCTCCTAAATCCCCCCATAATATTACATAGAATAATCTTCATTTAGGCGAAATCCATTTTGTCTGTTATCCCCTTCCATAATATTGGTTACGCTAATCCAGTGTCTAATAGGGATAATACGTTTGGTAGCAACGCCAATCAAGCGGATTGGATTATAATTCTACAGGTAGAACTTGTTATTTAGATTTCTAGCTTGAGACATGTTAACTGCGAGACTGTTGAATTTGACCAAATTTAGAATTTTGTGACTGCCAAGGGAAGCAAGGACTAAAAAAATCAGCTTACCCAAGTTCAATAACTGAAGGACTAGAGAAAGAGAAAAGAGAATTTTAACCGCTGAAGTAGGCCTATTGTTTTAAATTGACCATCGAAAGAAAATTTTAAGTTGGTTATTTGTAGAGTGACATATTTTTGAACTTTTATATTAGTTTGATTGGATTGTGGTCTTTTGGATCAGTGTCTTTCAAGGAACAAAGTATTGAAGGTTATGTGGTGTTTACCTGTCGTTTAGTCAAAACAGTTCTTTTGTCATTCGATGGATTGTGAAATATCGTAGGTGGAAGTAAGGTCAGATTCAAAACAAACCTTGAAACTTTGAAGATAAAAAAACTAAACTTGGGATTTGAAACAGAGATAGTTGGGACTTCAAGACACCACATTTTGAACTAAAAAACTAAACCTGTGAAATATCTTAGTTGAAACATCAGAGATTCGAAATATAGTAATTCGGATTCAAACTGAAACCTTGGACCTTAAAGAAGAAAACAACATGTGAATGTGAGTTCACACTTCTCTGAAGTTAGAAACAGGACAAGATGGTAAATGAGATGAAATTGGAATAGTTTGAGATGTTTTTTTTAAATAAACAGACAAGATGCCTCTAGATATTAAAGGTAGGAAAGATATTCTAAATTTTTTCTTTCCTCAAAAAATATTCCTTCTGTAAAAATTGAAATTGAAGTGGTGCAAATCTGTTCCTTTAAAGCTGTGAATAATTTTACGAGTTCGTGTGCCTTTAAAGTAGATATATCAAACCGATTGTTGGTTACTAGATGATTAATTCTATAAGAAAAAAAACAATAGCGAAGGCCATTTGATATTGTGTATATAGATATACATATTATATCTATATCACGCTTCAATAAGTGTTTTATCTTATATCGTATCCACTGGGCACGGACACACCATGTTATAGCGCATATATTGAAACACCCCCATGGAAAAATTGACTGACAACCGGCAACTGCGATCATTGCCAATCAACTGGCTCCCCTTTCGGACTTTAGACGGCACTACTCATTCTTGGGGGTCAGTGTGGGTCTCCCCCTGAAAATGTCTAATGTAGGAAGCCAGAAAATACACGATTAAGGCAATGATGTAGAGTAAATTTTTCCCTTTTTTCTGGTTCGAGGGTCTTGGGGGTGCCACTATACCCCCCGCCCCCTCTACTGGCCCAACATAACGGAACCCTATCCTCTATAGTTTCTAATCATCGTACTTCCATTCCAGAAAGTCGTCGTTCCCGTATCCTGGCGTCTGATACGACGGCTGTAGTGTGGTCGCAAGCCAGTCTTTATCGGTATGAACATCTCTCAGAGGATGACAAGGATCTGGTCCGCCAGTTGTTGAAAGGGCAGATAACCCTAGATCAAGTACCAACCATCAAATCCAACTCAGTCAAAATTTTCATCAGTTCCACCTTTTCTGGTAAGTTTCAACGAATGTCTTTTTTTTTTGGTCAAAGATAGCAAGTATGATATACTCATGGATCGAGCCCTTACATTATAACGAGCCATCGATCAACTCTTCCGGCAACTCTCTTTCCTGGATTTTCTTTGCGTGAGATAAAAACTCAGGTTCTCAAGGATTTTGTCTATACCAGCTTGACCTTGTCCAAACCACATAGCAATGACCTTACAAAGATACCAGCTCAGGTTCTCGGGGATCCTGTCAACCAGTTGGTCCTTGATTAAAACTCTTGGCAATGGTTTTACAAGGATAACAAATTAGAACTTTGAGGATATTTTCTACCAGCTGGTCCATGTGCTTGCGCCCCCTTACAACCCCGAGAATTAAGACAGATCCGGCTTTGCCCTCCACCCTCCAGTCTTTATTTTCAACTCTGTGGCCCTAATGTTTCTTGATTCATACAAAAGGCACTGTGAACAATGATTTCAATCGTGACTATAAGTAAGAAGTATAATACCCCAAACCACAATAATTAAGCCCAACAATAGGCCGAACAATAAACAATAATCCCATTCTGATAATCTGGTTTAAACAGAGTTTAAGAAGGGAATTAGTTAATCCATCACCCTTTCATGTGTCAGGCTATTCTGTAATTCAAATCTTGTTATATATCAGTTCGGCATTCTTATAGCGTTTGCACATTCATGTTAAAGATGGAGGGTGGGCGCACCTTCTGAGTCTGGGGGGTACAAATATGACAAATATCCAGTCTGACTTAAAAGGGGACAACTGTTAAGGTTGAGATTCAAAATACTTCAGCAAGGTGCAAGCCTCCAATGGATGGTTTTATCTCAGGAAAATTGGGACACAAATGCCCCCCTCCTCTTTTACTCTCACTGGCGCGGTCACTGAGTATGACCTACGACTATCTATATCATGATCATTAATATGAACTGACCGACAGGCAACGCAAGGTTATAAAACCAAGTTGCAGTGTTGTAACAGTGCTGTTGTACTCTAATATCCAATTCGGCAATCTTCGACAGTTTCCGTAAAGTTGTTTCTGTTGCAGAGCGCACAGTTGCTAATACCTAACATAAAATACGCACGTGCATTATGCCTCCTGTGCCAGTTTCCATAAATTGTTTAATATCTATATATTATTATTCTAGATATGGTAGAAGAGAGAAACGCTCTGGCTGAAAATGTTTACCCTAAACTACGAGAATATTGTAGAGAAACTCACGGATTAGACTTTCAGGTATATTCACTTTCAGTAGAGTATGCACATACACGTGCATTTGTAACTTCTTAGATTAAAATTACGATGTGTCAGTCATTCTATCCAATGTTTTTCCGCAAACATCAAAACTATTTAACTGAAGCAGAAGCAACTATAGTGGGTTTTAGAGTGGTTTGCTGTCCTACAAAACTTGCTCAATTCCATCTTAACAATGTCAAGCTATTACAAACGTCGTGAACTTGACATTGTGAAGATTCAATTCATGCCCAATCGGTTACGAAGTCACTACTTTTGCACCAATCTAGATTGATTGTTGATAGATTATGATCCCGCTTTTGTAATTTGACCTGGTGATTTTATACTAATGATATATTGATATTTATAGGCGGTTGATATGAGATGGGGAGTGCCACTAGATGCTGTAGAATACCACACTGCTACAGAACTATGTTTAGCTGAACTACGATCCTGTCAATCTCAATCTATAGGACCAAACTTCGCAGTAAGTTTTTTTTGGATAATAATACAATATACGTGCGTATGTACTTGCTAATTAGGGGCCTTACAGCATAGCGATCACCAGATGCGTTTGGTTGCGAATAAGAATGGCGGTCATAGGTTTCAAACACAACTATCATGCTACTAAGTTGTGAGTTGCGTTCGTTTGGTACTCATGACCACTTTCATAATTAGCAACCATACACAACTGGTAATAGCTATAGTGTGAGCGTACCTTTAGTGAGTTCCGTTTCTTTCTTAAAAGCCTTCACCCACCTTCGAAAACGCTTCGAAACCTTCGATGGCAATTTTTAAATGAAATTGAGTTCTTTCATTAAGTATATTTTTTACTTTATCGTCTATGTTTTATATTTTAGGCATTTCTGGGTCAGAGATATGGGTGTGTTCCTCTACCATCGAGTATTTTGAGGGCCGAGTTTGAGTTATTAGAGAGTCACATGGTGGAAGACGACCAGTCTTTAATGAATATATGTTATTTAAAGGATCAGAATGTCCATTCTAATTTATATCGATTACAAACTATTTCCCATATAACTGGTAAGGACCCTTCATTTTTAGTCTCCAAGACTGCAAATACTCGCTCTTCAAGAAAATATGCAAATATGCATACCCTCATACAATTTCTATGGCATGCTTTCCTTTCCCGTACACTCAAGATATCGCACTCTGCGACTGGGTTCATTTTTAGCTCCGCTACAATAAGAATATACGATCACAGGTTAGCATTTACATATAGCTTAAATATTGAACAACGAAGTATTTTGTTTAATATTGTGCCCTATTTTATTATTATGAGGATACCTTGCGATGTTTTTATTTATATAATTTCTTCCTCTGTTTGTAGAGAATGTAAAACGAACGTGGTATGATATAGAGCAGGATTTAAAACGGATAATAATACAGTCATCATCTTCTGCCGTGGAGGCGAAGGAACTCAGTCGAGAATCATTCCGAAAACTCAATGCTTCAGGTTAGTGCGAGTTATTCTGTGTCTAGTTTGGTTACCGATTTAACAGTTTGGAAGCTGCATTTTCGCCTGCAAGGCACTGCAAATACAGTGGGTTTGAATCCTCGTAAAAATAAGAAAAAAAAATTACTGCACTAGTGCTTCCGTGAGTGTCAGCCAGTGGTCGGTTTTGAACCACTATAATTGAACTATACCTACAGGTAGCCTTTCATGGCATGCTAGTTTGAGAAACTGCTATGCCCTGGCTATGGGAAATTAATGACAGAACAATATAACGCTAAGCCTACATTTCAGTTCCAATAAGTATTATTTCCTTGAAAAACATATGTAGTGGATGTAAAACTCTGTGATAATCATTTCGATTAGCCCTCTATTAAAATTTGTTCTTGTTTCCTTCCAGTAACCGAGCATGAGATGTACGAGGGTTTGATCGACGTAAAGCGACAAAAAGATCGAGAAAACAACATTTTGCTTTATGTCCGGGATATCCAGGACCTTCATTGTCATTATCAAGATGCTAAAGCGAGGAAATTTGTGGATTTGACCGAGGATTGTCAAATCAATCCAGAAATTAAGAAATCTCTTGACGATATGCGAGAAAATTCTATCCAAAAATTACCTGGATATAACTGTCTTAAGTCGTCAATCACGTGGTGTGAGAACGGTATGACGTCAACTTCCCACAAGCCTTATCTTAATCGGATGTGCAGCCATTTCTTTAAAACCACGTGTGCGTTAGTGGATCGGAATATTGCCAGTCAGAAGAAGTTAGATACTGATCCATTGTATCAAGAAGTAGTCGAGCATTGGGTGATTTTAAAAGGACGATGCGAAACGTTTGTGGGCCGAGATGATGTTTTCAACCACATTAAAGACTATCTTAGTTCGAAAGACTCACGACATCCGTTAGTAATACACGGTAACTCGGGCAGTGGGAAAACCTCAATTTTAGCCAAAACTGCTTTATTGGTGGAATCCAGCATGCCTTCGATTTCCAAACCTCAATTAGTCTTCCGTTTTCTGGGAACAACACCAAAGAGTTCTTCCATTCAACCCCTATTGTACTCAGTGTGCCACCAAATAGCCTTCATCAGCGACAAAGACCGAGCTAAAGTTCCCGAGGATATCGCAGAACTAAAAAAATATTTCACTGAAGTGGTCAAATCGGGAGATTTTCCAGGGACAATCGTAATAATTTTGGACTCACTGGATCAGCTGTCACCAAATTTCTCTGGCTTAAAGCTAGACTGGTTACCAAGCCGCCATGCTCCGAACGTTCGGATCATTGTTTCAAGTCTCCCGGACAAACATAATGTCCTTGACATACTTCGGAACAAATTGTCGGGCAACTTTGTGGAGGTGAAACCACTACCGTCCAAAGATTGTGAGCAAATCATCCGAACACTGATGGAAAGGTCCAACCGGAAAGTTACATACGAGCAATGGAAACTCATCATGAAAGCTTTTGAAAGTTGTACACTTCCGCTTTTTGTGACCTTGACCTATCAACAGGTCACTGATTGGTGTTCCTACGACAACATTCCACCAGGGACCTTAATGACGACGATTGAGGCGTCCATTGTGAAACTTTTTGAGCGAATGGAACAGAAACATGGTAAAGTGTTTGTTTCAAAAGCTTTCGGATACATTACAGCAGCTCGGAATGGGTTGAGCGAAATGGAACTAGAGGATATTTTATCTCTGGACGATGAAGTCTTAAATAGTGTTTTTGTGTTATGGGTTCCACCTATCCGACGTCTCCCTCCTAGCTTATGGTCACGCCTACGACTGGATATGTGTCCGTTTTTGGTGGAACGGGAATCGGATGGCATCTCCGTTTTGTCTTGGTATCATCAACAGTTTGTAAACGTAGTGACGGAGAGGTATCTAGATTACATGGACGCCATTAAAATCCATCATATTATTGAGGAATACTACATGGGAACCTGGGAATCTCTGCCAAAATCCTTCCAATATTCTCCCCTTCTGATGGAGAGACTGAACATCGACGATCCACAAGGCAAAGAATTTCGACATGTACCTAAACAACCCTTAATTCTCAACAAGGACGGAAAAGGAAGTCCTCGATACAATCGCCGGAAGATGAATCAACTTCCGTTCAGTTTGTATCATGGCCGACAATTGGTCCGGCTCAAGGTGATTTGTTTCTGCAACTACGAGTGGATTTATACCAAACTAAAGGCTACGTCTTTACAAGACGTTCTGGCAGATTATGCTATTTTCGATGATCGGGAGACCAACCTCGTAGCTGATGCTTTAAGAATGACCGGCTCGGTGCTGACCAAGGATCCAAACGTCTTGGGACCAGAATTAACCGGTAGGTTGCTCCCACATGTCCAAAACTTTGATCACATCCGCGAACTGGTTCGTCAAGCAGATCTTCACGCCCAGCTGCATTGTCCACTTGTACCCAATTGCCAGATCTACAGCGCACCAGGCGGTCCACTCCAATATGAATGTGAAGTCAACATAAAAACAGAATCTCCCATTGATGTGGATCTTTTCCAGTGCCCTGATGGAATTTTGATGACGGCGAAAGCGTATTACAACCAAACTGTCCAAGTTTGGGGACTGACTCAAGGAGAACCACGGCAAGATTTTAAGATGCCAATCGGCCATATTTATCCCAATGGTGATGGTCGCTTTTTGTGTATGTTTAAGAACAATCGTTTTGTGCTTGTGTACAAGTCCGACAGTGGTGAGCTTCATGGAGAAGCCGACTTCGATTACGGGAAGCCACGCTCGATTCAGACGACAAAAAACTTAATGATTTTTATCACCGAAAACGGCGTTGGACCTTATGTGATTGACATTCAAAAATGTGTTCTGCTCCACAAATTCACGCATAACGTGAAAGCATGTGCTATGAGCCCCGATGAATCGTTCCTTGCCATCAGTACAGAGAACGGACTCATGCTTTTTGAAGTACCTCTTATGGAGAAGCGTTGCTCACTCACCACTCGAGATGCCGCGAAGCAAATCATGTTTACCAGTGAACATTTTAAATGCTTTGTGCTGACCCAGGACAATTTGTTCAAGTCTGTAAAATTCAATCTAAAATCTAAAGGTGCTCAAATGAACGAGATTATCAGTGATTATGACATTAAAGAGTTTAAGATCTCGCATTTGGAGAAATATCTTTTAGTTCGATCAGCAAGATGCCTTTATCTCATAGACTCTAAAACAGAATCTCTGAAACATCGTCTGCAACGGATGCCTGATGGTGTATTTGTCGAGACTATGTCTACGTTTACTTCCGCCGGGTTCTCGCCCAATGATGATATGGTACTTGCATCAAGGTATACTTATATCGCTGTTTGGGATACGGTGACCGGTTCACCCTTGCGGCTACTTCCAGCGTCTGTTTCACCAATCCTCAAGATCTTTACGTCGGACGTACTCAACAAGGCGGTCTCGTTACTAAAGAACAACACCTTACAGGTTTGGAATTTGGACAACTTGAACGCTGACGTCCAACACGCTAACGAGGTCGTAAAAGGAAGAGTGAAGAGTCTTGCGGTTGCGTCCACCAGCAAGCAGATCATCTGTACTGGATTCAAGCAACCGGAAGTCACCATAGTCAGTCTTGAATCAGGAACAGAAACTCATACCCTGGTGTATAGCGAGGACAGAGAGGACGTGATAGATCAACTGGAATTGTCGCCCTTTGGACGGTATTGCGTTGCTAAGGGCAAGAAGGCCACTTATCCTGACATCAACATAAAATGGCCGCAACTCTCTTACGACATCATCTTTGATCTAAGATTCAAAATATTCTTCCAAGAATCACAGAACAATCGTTTTACAATTTTCGACAAAGACTGCCATTTTTTAGCCTGTGTACAATGCCACTTATATTCCAAGAAAGACTACATCCGAAATGTTTACAAAGTTAGGTTATTTCGCTTGAATTTTATGTCGAAACAAAACAAAACGTTTGACATCCCAGTAAATACGGAGTTCGTCAGCAAGCCGGTGATCTACAGAAGCAAGGACTTACTGGCGTTTGTTTCCATCTTTCAAACGTGTACCATAATCAAGGATAACATAACCAACGTCGAAGTTGGGCGATCGTTCTTCTGTCGCCTTTCTCTTCTGAACCTGGAAGAAACTGGTCCACGAGAAAAAACCGTTACAGTGGGAAGCATCCTCAAACATGCAGACGAAAATGACAGATTTCTGGACGTGAAGGTCCACGACTCCAATTTAGTTTTGATTTATACCAAGGATGTGGAATTCTATGAATTTGATGCAGAGAAAGGTCTCGTGTGCCCACCTGGTGTCAGAAAAGGCGCCATTTTGTACAACCCTAACAACGACTTCATGTTACGTCACATCCCGTTTATCCTTAATCCTGGTACGGATGTGACGTCGTGTAAGTTCTCGAGACGAGGAACTATAATATTGAGTGACGAAATGAAGGTTTTTGAAAAGAGGACAAACGGATACATTACAACTATTGAGACGGAAGTCGTAAGAGAAACCGCAAGGCTAGCTCTAGACGGACAATATATCATTGCATTGGATAGCTGTGGTAAAAAATTACTTGTGATACGATCATCCACCGACCAAATAGTCAGTCAACTATTCATCCACGGCGTTGCGTCTTGTGTGGACGTTGCGGAAGATGATCGGACTGTAGTGGTCGGATGCAACGACGGACGTGTCATGATACTGACGCTAATAATAGACTACAGTCGCCCTATGGATGAAATTGCTAAACTTGCGTCCAGGAAAGATCTGCCTCCACAGAAGGAAGAGAACCTTTTGAACAAGGATCTACATAAGATAACGGCTCATTCGTCTAAGGATTTGATCAAAACAAACTTAAAGGGGCGAGGGGCCCAAAGGTTCAGATCCATGTTTAATGCTGTCAAGGTGACCAATAAGGGAATGAAGGCAAGATCCCAAGCTTGTTCAATCCAATAAGGTGTATGTTGCAGCTAGGAGCCGCTACTACCACTGTTGTATTTCTGTCTGTGTATAGATACATCAGACATCACTTAACTCTTGGTTATATTCTAGAGAGTGGTCTAATGTTGTACTATTGTCAGTTTATAGAAACATCAGACATCACTTAACTCTTGGATATATTCTAGATGGTAGCCCACTGTTGTACTATTGTCTGCTTATAGAAACACCAGACATCACCTAACTCTTGGGTATATTCTAGATGGTAGCCCACTGTTGTACTATTGTCTGCTTATAGAAACACCAGACATCATCTAACTCTGGGTTATATTCTAGATGGTGGTCCACTGTTGTACTATTGTCTGTATATAGAAACACCAGACATCAACTAACCCTTTGTTATATTCCAGCCCACTGTTATATAGAAATTGTGAAATATTTTGAGTGCTTTTTAAAATATATGAATTTATTTATTTCATTTATTTATAAATATATATTGATGTACAATTTAAATTACTTTTCTATTTTATACAAATTGAATAAATATATATATATATATATAATATACAGTAATTCATATTATTCTCTATAACCTTAGAGCCAAAAAATTATAAATTTACTCAGTAGACTAATCAACATTGACACATTGGGCTGGGGGTGTTGGCTCCTTGACACATTGCCACCTCTTATCAGTAGGGTGGGGCAGGACTGAAGGGAGGGGTATTTCAGGGTGCTCTTAAATAGCATTTAGTTTTCTTATCAGAAAAACAAGTCGAGGGGAAGTCGAGGGGACAGCAACAGGGTTTCCAGAGAAATTGCAGGTACTTCAGTGTTTGGGGCAGGGGCTCTGATCAAAAACATGTGTAAGCTACCATTCATCAGTAATAATTCACAGCATGGCTCTATCATTGTGGTGACAGTCAGACATTCTAAACCTCCAATCAAATATGGCTGGTAAATCAAATCCAGAGTTCTGATTTATTCAGTATCTTCATCGTATTCACTGGTAAATTCATTACCTTCCTACAATATATCAAAAATATTCCATACTTTTAGTAGTAATATAGTTTTCAATTATCTAAAAACAATGACATAGTTCATAGCTTCAATTACTTCATAATGGGAGATAACTCTTCTATTCATGTTTAGCTTTAGAATTGTTTCAAAAAGTATACCTTATAGACTTGCTACTTTGTTTATTGTGGACCAATGATAACAGTGTTATCAATACACATAAATCTCACAGAATTCTTCAAATTAAAATTCAATATCTATACCTCTTTCTGAAGATTTCTATGACAACCTTGACGCTGGCGGACTAGCTCTCCCCACATCAATATGGCGTCACATTTAGGACACTGGCCTTCAATTGGTATCACATGATCAGCGTTGCCTAGGAACACTCGTGCCAGACATATAATATGTGACTTCATGAAACATTCTGGGTGTAAACAACTCAATTTTACGTCTTCCTTCTGAAATAAATGTGTTACTGTATATGTCACAGTTTTTTACCCTTAAAAGGGCTTACCAAACTTGGGGTGCCCATCATAGAAAGTAACAAAAATTGTGTAAATATTGATGATCTATTATTTTGTAATTGATTGCTGAAGGTGGAAAGTTCTAATATGGAAGACTGCACCCACATTTTCAAACAAGATATCCTGATGATATCCTTAAATCCAAAACAGTACAGACATGTGTCTAAGGTGAAACTTTATTAATAAATATTGGAGAATTCAAACAAGATCTCACCTGAATTCTTTTATAACAGACGTCACAAAACTCCAGCATCAAACTGTCACTCTCATCATCTCCTGTCTTTTCATTGGTCTTCTTCTTTTTACCTCCCACCTTCTTACACATGATTGGTCCAAACTCAATGGGCATGTGATTAGGGGGAGGAGTTGTAGGTGAGAAATCCAATCGGAACTCTTGATTTAACCAACGTATCGTCAAAGCCAATCGATTCCAAGGAGCAGTTCTTAACATTTCTGATACAACACGGAAATGAAAATCGTAAGATTTCTCTGATTTTCTTTTAGCAGGAAGGTGTCGAATTCTTCTAGAAATTTTAGGATGCTGCCATGCCCATTCAAACTGAAATACAAGTTTAATATGTTTAGCTATCTACGCTCAAAGAAATTAACTGGGTTTTTACATTCTTATTTTCTGCACCATTTGAATACTTAAATCATTTAAAGTTAATTTTTTGAGAAAAAGTGCCCTAGTTGAACATAATTTGAAGAAATTCAATTATTAAAAACTTACTCTGAGGGCCGAAACAGCTTCAGGAAAACCATGGATTATCAGCACCATTTCCCTGGAAGACAGAAATAAAAAACAGTCACAATTCAGTTTACTGGAAGAGCAGTGTTGTTCTTAAGACCCAGGGTCCGGCTACATGCACCTCTGACCCGGGCAGGACACCAACAGCAATAACTTTAAAAACTTTGATGTGAAGATGGATGGATGCAAAGGGGAGAAATTTTATTTCAAAATCAAAATATCTAATTTATAATATTTTTTGTCGGAAGAAGTAAAAAAGTGCAAAAAATTACACCAACAAATAACTTAATCTATAATCTGATTATCGTACCATGGCCCCTTGCCGTCAGTTTTCCAAGCGCCTCCAGCTTTAGCCCCAGTATTATGTTGATGTATACGTCTATTAGGGTCAGTGGTTTTACCAATGTAGACACGCCCCTTATATTTGGGGTTCAGATTATACAGGAGATAAACCCCGAAGAAAGCTTCCACTTCTTGAACCATTTTGACCACCAGTTTATTTGATCTTCTTCATCTTAGATTATCTTCTGACTGAAAATAAAAACCAAAATTATTCATTTAAGAAAAAATTAATTAAGATGACAGATTCCCCATTTTTAGATGGTTGAATTGGGTCTTGAATTTTTGTAGTCTTCAGAAGTACTAGAATTGTACGAAAATCCGAAAAGTCCTTCAAAAATGTCGTAAACTAGGAATTTCACTTTCAATGTAAATGTCTTTTCTATATAAGCTAAGACAGAGTCTCAAGAAAAGACGAATCGTTTCTGAGACTAAGATACAATTGGTCAAACAGGTGAATCAGAAAACGTAAAATGGCAGTCCAGCCAACACATCCGCCCCCCCCCCCCCCTTTTTTTTTTAATTGCCACTCTGTAATTCTTCAACAAAAGACCAATTCATTATGGGGTATTGCTATTCAACTTTGATATAGGTTAAAATATCTCTTTAATGGCCAAAAATATGTAAAAGAATTTCGAAATGACCTACGCTAATTCGTACTTTTTCACTCTAGATAAAATCAATTTTTAAATTTTCGATATGTTTGTGGAAGTCGCCATGTTTTGCATCACGTGATGTCCTTATATGGATATAAGTAGTCGAGGCTGTTTAGACACAAAAGAAGAGTTCCCTAAGGTTCTATGGTTATTTCTAAAAGAGACATAAATTTGGTGTCTTTCATTATCATAGTTTGTATAACTTTCAGTTTTCGCTGAAACAAATCACATGGTCACCTATTTGAATCTTTGAAATGAAAACTAAAAGCTAAGTTGTGCTTTCAAATTACTGGATAACCCAGTATCTAATATTATAGCTTTTATTATCAAGTCGTATTTTTTCCGTATTGACTTTCACTATAGAGATTAAGACTGGGTAATATAATCTAGGGTATAAAGCTTATAACCAGTCGTAAAGTGAGAGACGCTGGAATATCGAACTCGAAGCAGGTCACGGTTGATTGCAGACTCTTTCTTTGACTACAGTTTACAGGAATAATGGCAGCCGCAATTAAAAATTTTGAAGGAAAATGGAATATGGTCGATTCGACAAATTTTGATGAGTACATGAAAGCCGTCGGTAAGGAGAATTTTTGGTACATTTTTATATAAAGAGGAACCATTCTCAACATAATGTGACTGGCTGCTTGACCAACAAGGGCAAGGCACTGCACTCAGAACTACCGCATTGGCATTGTGCATGGAAACTGGCATCTGGTATTTTATGCGACCACCTGCCCTTGATACCCGATATTTAGCATTGCCTTTCTTTGTTTGGATTAGAATTTTGCGTTTATTAGGCTAATGAATTTTTTATAATACCATTATAGGGTACTATATATATAGGCTACACAATGTAAATTTCTCATGAATTATGTATTGTTGGCCTAAGCTAGTAGCCTAGGGCTAGTACTTGTGTAATAATAAGCCTAAAATTATAAGTTCTTTTGTCATTTTGAATTAAAAAAAAGGGCCTATTATACAGTTATTTATATTTATATATATGTAATGTGGTGATTGAATTTTGATGAATTGATTATCACAGACTTGGCCTATAACAGATTTGTTTGGAAATAACTTTAAAAATTTCATTGAGATTTTGAAACCTTTTTTTAGTTAAAAATATACCTTTTTTGAGGATAGCCTGTTTAAGATTTGGGAGGCATCGCACCTTTAACAATTCCAGTACCAAAATGATTATTTTGGCATTTTATGACGCCACTTATGATACAAGAAAATTTTGAGGGGGTGACGTCATAAAATGGTGTAAATTTATACTATCAGTAAGCCTGATACAATGCCTAGTTTTAGTGGAATTGCAGGAACCACAGACGTCTGATTGAAAATTGGAATGATGTAAATTGATCTTATCATTGTCCTTGATAAGCATAAAATTTATAAATCCTCTTTACAATCACTTTAAGTTTTTTGTAAATCAGAATCAGGCCCTATGAAGATTCATGTGTAATATTTGCAGGTGTTGGAATGGTCATGAGGAAATTAGCAGGAACAGCAAAACCCCAACAAGATATAAAGGTAGAGGGTGATGATAAAATCAGTATTACTACCTCCACTACGTTTAAATCTACTGTAATAGACTTTTCCCTCGGCAAAGAATTCGAAGAAACTACTGGAGACGGTAGAAAAGTGAAGGTGAGAATTATGAAGTTTATTTATTGGTAGTGGATGAAAGCTTTCTCTGAGTCGACTTCCAGAAGCACTGGCTGTGCTTACTTTGAGGAGGATTCAAACCCAATTGCACCTAATTGCCCAGCAGACAACGATCTAACTGGCTATGGATTGAGCTCAATTTCAACTAGCTTCGATGGGAGAGGGGGGGGGGGGAATAAGAGCACCATTTTGAAACATTGCTTTGGTGTCCCTTGAAGAACAAAACACAAAATTAAAATGGAAATACTGAAGTATTGAGAAGAAAATATTAAAAATACGTATAAATGATGGGTAATAGTTGTAAAATCTGTAATAATTGTTAGAATTTGTTATGAAATCAATAAAATCTGTTGGATTGTTTAAACTTTTGAACTGTCACCATGTTTTTGACTGGTAACATCTGGTTCATACACATGATATTAGATTTTAACCTTGGTATAAATATAGAAAATATTTTAGAGATGTTGAAAATAAAATCTTGAGGTTACATACAACTGTTTTTGTTCAAAAAGGGCAAATGCTTAATGTCCACCCTCCACCCATCCCACTCTACTAGCACCACAACTGAGACACATGTCCAGTTAACATGATTAACATGATTTTAATAATGTGCCACGTAGACTAGAAATAGTTTAATTAGACTTAACCAGATGACTCTAATTTACTCTTAATTAATAATGGGCTGATTTCAGTATATAAATATATTAATTATGTTAACCGTGGAGCATGTCACTGGTACTGAATTGTCATATTGACATTCCTTTCACAGTTCACATAGTTAAAGGGATTGTAAAATGGTTTATCTATATTTTATGTGTATTGGATGGGGACACTGATAAAATATATTTGCACCATTCCAATTTTTAGTCAGACGACTTTGATTCCTGCAGTTCCGCTAAAACTTATCATTTTATGAAAAAACTTTTGCAAAAGCTGCTAATAATGTTCAAAGCCATTGACATTATAAAACGCTTACCGGTACCTAGTTTTAGTGGACTTGCAGGCACCACAGACTGATTGAAAATTGGAATGGTGCAAATGGATGCTCTTAGTGTTCCTGATACATATAAAAAGTTTAGAAAATCTATTTGCAATATTTATTGTATTGATCATTTGGATTATTTATTGTTATTTGACATTTGAGTCATTTTGGATGAATAAGTGTTCTGATGGCTTCCCTCGTATTGAAGTGTTTTTTCAATGCAGTACAGTTTACTGTCACCGCAACAGGAAGACCTCAAGTGTTAGATTAGTTACCTAAAGGTCAAAAGTCGGGAACAAACTATGATTATGAAAGAATCATTTTCCCATGTCAAAGCTTCCTAGTATATTGAGTTCGTTATTTTATCCAACTGATGGTTATGATTTTGCAATTTTGAAATCTTCGTAATTTATTCGGTTCGTCACATGATCAATTGCGTTTTCACATCAATACTGCTATTGAGACCAAAGTTTTATTCTTGAAAATATTCCATGTTTTGACACTTATGGTTTTGATGTACTACCGATCTCCAGCAGACAGCGGTGGTGGTGACGTAGACAAGAGACATCAAATCTGACTAATCAACAAACCATTTCTGAAACAAAATTATAAACTAAATGCTAGCAGAAATTGAAAAGAAAATATTCAAAAAAAAAAGCACTGGTCTAGGTCAAAAAGTAAGAAACAAGAACAAATTGTCTGAGCTGATCAGCTGTGAAAAAACAGTAAAGAAAAAATATGAAAAGTAGCTCTTGGTGTCTGTTTTTATTTCAAACTGGTACCAAAAATAAGTGTTTTGGTTATATATTTTCAGTCTGTATGTACAGTAGATGGTAATACTTTAAAACATGAATCGAAAGCACAGACCGAGGATGAGCCTGATACCACCATCACTAGGGAATTTAACGGCAACGATATGATTATGGTAGGTTATTCATTCATTTATTCATTCTTTCTTTGATTCGTTCATTCATTCATTTATTGGCATATTCATTCCTTTATTCTGTATCTTAGACCTGGAACATGAATATTGTAGGTCATTCATTCATCCATTCTTCCTATCTTAGGGCTCAGTTATGATTATGGTAGGTCATTTATTCAATTTTTCATTTATCCATTCATTCTTCTGTTCATTCATTCATTATACTGTTCATTCATTATACTGTTCATTCATTCATTATACTGTTCATTCATTCATTATACTGTTCATTCATTCATTATACTGTTCATTCATTCATTATACTGTTCATTCATTCATTATACTGTTCATTCATTCATTCTTCTGTTCATTCATTCATTTATTTATTCATTCATTCATCACTATTATATGCAAGGATAAGATGAAAAGCATTTTAGAGGAGAATTTTATGATATTTCATTTTACTTCATAAATAATTTATTTTTTTGGAAATTAAAAAGATTGATAAATCTATTTTCCATGAGAGAATATTACAAGTTTAAAATAGATTGTTTAGAATTCATATCAAAGAATGTTTATTTTATCTTGTATTTAAAGATTTAAAGCTGGTAAGAGCTCAGGGCTATATTTAATAACTGTCCTATTTTTTAAAACAGTGGTTTATAGAAAGTTTTTAGATTTCTTTCTATGTTGTCTGTTTAGTAGAGAATGTGCCAAAGGTCATTCTCCAAACTGCAAGCTTTAGGCTCTTGAGTTTAGATCGCAAAACACTAATTGACTTTAAACACAGTGCAGTGATCCTAGATCAAGCTCTTGGCTGGGTCAGGCATCCCTAAGACATATTTTGCCCTGTAAAAATTTCATCCATTGTACGTCTGGTCGGGTTAGGCCCGTTTGGGCTAATTCCCATTTGAGCTACTTTATTTTCCCGTTTGAGCTACTTTATTTTCCCGTTAGGGCTACTTTATTTTCCTGTTAGGGCTACTTTAATTACTTTACTTTATCCTTAATTACTAAGTAGACCTAACAGGAATAGTTAATCTCTTAAAATATCACAGTAGCCCTAACAGGAATAGTTAATCTCTTAAAATATCACAGTAGCCCTAACAGGAATAGTTAATCTCTTTAAATATCACAGTAGCCCTAACAGGAATAGTTAATATCTTAAAATATCACAGTAGCCCTAACAGGAATAGTTAATATCTTAAAATATCACAGTAGCCCTAACAGGAATAGTTAATCTCTTAAAATATCACAGTAGCCCTAACAGGAATAGTTAATCTCTTAAAATATCACAGTAACCCTAACAGGAATAGTTAGTCTCTTAAAATATCACAGTAGCCCTAACAGGAATAGTTAATATCTTAAAATATCACAGTAGCCCTAACAGGAATAGTTAATATCTTAAAATATCACAGTAACCCTAACAGGAATAGTTAATATCTTAAAATATCACAGTAGCCCTAACAGGAATAGTTAATATCTTAAAATATCACAGTAGCCCTAACAGGAATAGTTAATATCTTAAAATATCACAGTAGCCCTAACAGGAATAGTTAATATCTTAAAATATCACAGTAGCCCTAACAGGAATAGTTAATATCTTAAAATATCACAGTAGCCCTAACAGGAATAGTTAATCTCTTAAAATATCACAGTAGCCCTAACAGGAATAGTTAATATCTTAAAATATCACAGTAGCCCTAACAGGAATAGTTAATCTCTTAAAATATCACAGTAGCCCTAACAGGAATAGTTAATCTCTTAAAATATCACAGTAGCCCTAACAGGAATAGTTAATCTCTTAAAATATCACAGTAGCCCTAACAGGAATAGTTAATATCTTAAAATATCACAGTAGCCCTAACACGAATAGTTAATATCTTAAAATATCACAGTAGCCCTAACAGGAATAGTTAATCTCTTAAAATATCACAGTAGCCCTAACAGGAATAGTTA